CCCCATTCCCCCCACCCCTGCCTCACAACCTGGACCCCCCTCCCCTCCCACACACCCTTCTGTCCACCGCTCCTTCCACATCGGACTACAAAACGTCCGCTCCCTCTGTAACAAGGCCCTGGTCATCAACGATCTCATCCTTGATGAGAACGTTGACATCATGGCCTTGACTGAAACGTGGCTCACCCCAGGCGACACCTTCCCCCTCACGGAGGCCACACCACCCGGCTACACCTCCCACCACATCCCTCGCCCCAACCGCCGTGGCGGTGGTGTAGCCCTTATCTCAAGGACACCACTTGCCCTATCCCCCTACTCCTCTGGCTCTTTCCCCTCTTTCGAGCACCTCACCCTCTCCCACCCCTCCTTCCCCTCACTCAAAATCCTCCTCCTCTACGGCCCCTAAAACCTCTCCCACCTTCATCTCCAATATTTCGACACTTCTTACATCTCTCTGCCTCTGCTCTGATCGCCTCATCATCCTGGGCGACTTTAACCTGCACTTCACCCCCTCCTGCTCCATCTCCTCAGACTTCTCTTCCCTGCTCTCCTCACTCAACCTCTCCCTCCACATCAACTCCCCCACTCACAGTCACGGCCACCCACTCGACTTGGTGATCACCCGGGGCCTCAGTGTCTCGGATGTCACTATCACCGACAAGGCCGTCTCCGACCACCACTTCATCTCCTTCACCACCTCCACCCCCTCCCCACCTCCACCAGACCCACCACCATCTTCTACCGCCCCTGGAAGAAGTTACCCCCACAATCCCTAACCGCTGCCTTGGAGTCCTCTGAACTCCTCTCCCTCTGGCCTTCAACCCTCACTGACCCCTCTTCTCCTCTCACCCTCCTCCACAACACCCTCTCCTCCACACTCGATACTCTTGCCCCCATCACCTTCCGTACTGTCTACTACTCCCGCTCCTCCTCCTGGTTCACCACCCACCTCCGCTCACTGAAGAGCCAGGTGTGGGCCGCTGAACGCACCTACGTCAAATCTGGCCTAACGGTCCACCGACAAATCTGGCTGGACCTCCTCAAAATCTACCGCTCCACTCTAGCCTCGGCCAAGTCGTCCTTCTACTCCAGGATAATCCTGGAGGCGAAGAACAACCCCAGGCTACTGTTTTCTACCACATCCCGACTCCTCCGTCCCCCCGCCACCCCGCGCAGGTCATCTCCTCCAACCTTCACTGCGAGGAGATGCTGGATTTCCTTGAATCCAAAATCAAGGGAATTCGCTCCGCGGTCACTTCCCCTCCAACATCCACCCACCCCCCCACCCCTCCCTCCCACACTCCGACTCCTACCCATCCTCCCCTACACACTTTCGTACCCGTTTCCCCACCCTCTGTCACCAAACTCATCCTATCCCTGAAACCCACCACCTGCTCCCTTGACCCCATCCCCACTCCACTCCTTATCTCCCAGCTCCACCTCCTTGCCCCACATATCACAGACATCGTCAACCTGTCCCTCTCCTCTGTTCCCATTCCCTTAAAAACTGCCATCATCACTCCCACCTTGAAAAAACCCTCCCTTGATGCGTCGCAGCTATCAAGCTACCGGCCCATCTCCAACCTCCCCTTCCTGTCCAAGGTCCTGGAACGAGTTGTCGCCTCCCAGCTGCGCTCTTTCCTCTCCACCCATTCATTATTCGAACCCCTTCAGTCGGGTTTCCGTGCTGCCCATAGCACAGAAACTGCCCTGGTCAAGGTCACCAATGACATCCTGACCATCTGTGACCAGGGCTCCCTCTGCCTCCTCGACCTATCGGCAGCATTCGATACGGTCGACCACTCTATCCTCCTCCACCGCTTGTCCTCCCACCTCAACCTTCAAGGCCCTGTCCTTGAGTGGTTTAGGTCGTACCTCTCCCACCGTCTTCACTTTGTTTCCATGAACGGCTTTTCCTCCACCCCCGCACTGTCTCGTGCGGTGTCCCTCAGGGCTCTGTCCTCGGTCCCCTCCTCTTCACCCTCTATATGCTCCCCCTGTGGTGACATCATCCGCAGACATGGGGTTAACTTCCACATGTATGCGGATGACACCCAACTCTACCTTTCCTCCTCTACCCTCAACTCCACGACCCCCGATGTCCTGACAGCTGTCTGTCCGACATCGAGTCCTGGACGAGAGACAACTTTCTTCAGCTCAACGTGCGAAAAACTGAGGCCCTCCTGATTGGCTCACGTCAGCGCCTCCGCACCTCAGGCGCTGACAGCATCAGCATCCAAGGCTGCACTCTCCACCTCTCAAAGCCATCAGGAACCTCGGGGTTCTGTTCGACCCTGAGCTGTCCTTTCCCCCTCATATCCGCACCACAACTGGCACCGTCTTCCATCACCTCCGGAATATCGCTCGTGTACTGTCCCGGACCAGGCTTCGCGACCACATCTCTCCCACCCTCGCCCTCACCCTCACCTTCGCCCTCGCTCGCCTCCACTGCTCCCCATCCCCCACAGGATCGAATTCAAGATCCTCATCCTCACCTACAAGGCCATTCATGGCCTCGCTCCCTCCTACCTCTCCGACCTACTGTCCCCCTACTTACCTGCCCGTACCCTCCGTTCCTCTGGCTCCGGTCTGCTCCACGTCCCCCGCCCCAACCGCCCTACCATCGGTGGTCGGGCCTTCAGCCTCTCAGCCCCGAGGCTCTGGAACTCTATCCCCCAGTGCCTTCGCCGCTTCCTCCCTTTCCTCCTTCAAGGCCGGTCTCAAAACCTTTCTCTTTGACCGAGCCTTCAGCTCCCCTCTCGACTCTCTACCCCCTCCTCGCTCCCTCCCTTCCCTCCCCTCACCCTGACCATTTCCCCTCCTCGCTCCCTCCCTTCCCTCCCCTCACCCTGACCATTTCCCCCCAATGCTCGGGTCCTGACCCAACTGTACAGCGCCTTGGGACGTCCTCCCGACGTGAAAGGCGCTCTGTAAATGGAATCTTGTTGTTGTTGTTAAGAGATTTCTGTTGACTGTATTTTCCAAAGTAAACAATAAGACAAAAAAGCTTCACAAGTTCTAAAGTAATATCAGGGCTACAGGAAAGTAGGATAATGTTTAAGGACATCGACCTGAAATGTTAACCCACTTTCCTCTCTCTTTAGATGCCGCCTGACCTGCCGAGCGTTCCCAGTGACTTCTGTTTTTATTTCAGATTTCCAGCATCTATAGTAATTTGCCTTTAGAGTTCCACTTCTATACATCATCTACACATAGACTTTGTCCGTGTGTCTGAATCTCTCTCCCCCAGGAGAGGTTTTCCCAATTGCAGTGTTAGCTGTTCCTGTTTAATGGAACCAACTGCCTTTTTTTTGCAGATTAGTAACTGTGAAACCCTCCAGGTTTTTAAGATCGATTTGTTGGCATTTTGATTACTGGCGTTTTGACCGACCTTCAAAGTGGTGAAGGATCGCAGTCCGTCAGTGCTAAAAAAATTTTTTTAAAAAACAGAAAATTCAAATTGTCAAGAGGTAAGCCACTGGGTTGCTATCCAATGATTGTTGGAAATCTAAATTTGTGAGTGTGGCGATATTTGTGTTTATATCTGTCTGTAGCTGGTACAGAAGTAGCACTTCTCTCTCTCAATGTGGTGTTAAATCAGCCGTACTTCCCTATTTAACATAGCTGCTCAGTGGTGCTATATACATACATAAGACTTCAGCACATACCCAGAATACCAACTAACCAGAATGCTAATCTAAGCCATGGCTTGACAGGTTTAGACGTAGATTCATAGAATGTTATGGCACAGAAGGAGACCATTCGGCCCATCGAGTCTGTGCGGCTCTTTGACAGAGCGTCACTTTCACTAACTGTTTTTGCGAGATGTTTTTGCTTTCAAAATGTTCCCACCAGTTATTGCCCTTTCTGATGGAGATGGAAGACAAGTCACACATGTGTTTGACCTTCCAGCCATGGGACGGAGCCTAAATCTCTATGGGACTAGTATAGTGTCCGAGCAGCCACTCTCGCCAGGAGGGAGCTTCCTTGTAATGTTACAAAGTAGAGCAACCACTTTTAATGCTTCAAACCCTAACTTAATTACAGTTTACATGAAACACAAAGCACTCAGTATATGAATACAGAGTTCCCGTTTCACTTGAGTCATGTGCTTGCTAAAACATATCACACATCAGCATCGATTGGAGTGAAGCTTGCTTCGGCATTGGTATCAGGGACTGTTCCACATTCAAACACCAAACCTATTCATTAACAGTATAAAATTGATGGGCTGATCAGTTCCTTGCCTTCCACACAAGCCCAGCATTGCAAACAATGTACAATTTACTGACCAGAAGTATTTGAACATAAACAGGATGGGATAGGATTTTCTTCAACATCCTATGCAAGATTTCCTTGTTTCTGCAGCACAGACTGTGGTCACTGGATATCGAGTTATATGTGCCCTGAACTGAATTGTGTCTGTCTTCATCATAAGAACATGAAGCAGTCCGACTGCAAACACCCATTTTTCCAAAGCCTGAGCGAGTTTGGTCCCTAATCTGTGTAAATTATAGGTAGTTACATTCTGTGGGTGCCCAAGAACTGCATTAATACTGTCCAACATTCTGTTTAGGATCTTTATTAATTTATAATGCAAAGATTATTATTTATAGCTCCATCGAATCAATCTCCAAGTCACAAAGTGTCACCAAAGTGCTCCCTCGTCACTTTTGAGCTCTGGAATATTTAATCAGTTGATTTGGAGTTTCGTACTCTCTTTTTAAATAAGAAACGCAAAGAAATGAGTACATGAGAAGGTGAAAAGAGGCACATGAGCCACTATCTATTGTACTGGAGAATGAACTAGTTAACAGTTCGAAGATTAGGAAATGGTACCATATGGGCTTCTGTTCCTGGGCTTTCAAAAACATCCACTTCCTGTTTTTTTTAACAGTTTAAAAATGTGTTTTACAATCAACACAACATGTGGTTATGTGAGAAATGAGCTGCAATGTGAAGTCCTGATCATTGTAAGGTACGGACAAATAAGTCTGCAACACTGTACAAATTCATCCTTTATTACATCAAATACCTGTTTATATCAAGCGGCTACAGCTTATTGACAACACATCCCATGGCTGGCTAACACAGCATTGCCCAACTGACCAGGCAACTGTTACTCACGAGGTCCTTGGGTTTCCCACTTGTCACCGGGCAGGATCATCCAGCACCTGGGAATACCTCCGCAATGTGCTCACGACAGGCTGACAGCACACTCAGCATTTACCACACCGTACCGAGGTGCACGGTAAAGGATTCTCGCTTCAGAATTCACTCTTCCTATTTTCTTTTCAACCCCTTTAATCACTCGCCAAATAAAAGCAAAGCAGTGAAGGGCTCCCGAGGTTGCTCTACAACTCTTCCATACCGGTGCAGTGTGTTTTTAGTGGTAATGAGGATTGAGAGATAGTCCTGTCTTTACACACAAATGATGCTGCCCTGTAAGCATTTGTGCCGTGGGCAGGTTTTGGTGGCCACATCCCTGGACATCATTGTAACGTCAATTGTCAAAAACACAGAAAAGCACAGGCCTGTGGAATAGGCCTCCACAGTAGTCGTACAAAAAATAAACACACAATAAAAGGCAAATCGGGTACTATAAAGACATGAAGAATCGTTGCTCTTGTCCTCACAAATGGAACCCTGGTCGGCTAATTATTGCAGTGCACGGACTCCTTACCAGGAAGGATATTTGGTCAGAGACTGCAGTGTTCAGTGGAGAGTATCAGAAGGTGGGTTGGCCTATTGAAGGCAACTGCATCAGCTGAAGGAGATTAGATCTCTGAGCACGGAAGGCAAGCTGTGTCCTGTGCAGATTTGAATGGATAACCAAGTTGCCCAATATCCAAGTTTGCACAAATTAAACTTCATGTAAATTAAAAATTTATGTAATTAATAAATAATCCCTTGTGCATGCCAATAAAATATATACCATCTACAACGTTTAGCACACAAAAGAACTGATCTGGTAATAGTCATACCAGTAAAGGCGAGGATAGTTTTTTTTTAAAAAAAGAGAGCAAGGAACTCAAAGAATATCCAGGAAATGATCAAATCAAACTGAGTCTCATTTGTACAAAACATTGTTAAAACTAATAAATACTGTGTGTCGTGGGTACTGGCTTTTACAACAACCAGATTAGCCACTGGAGTATTGCTCACGTTCTTGTGAACACAAAACAGGGAGAATTCTATCAGTTCATTTTCTCCTCGAAGAAGCCACTTGGTTGCACTTTATTTAATGTGCACTGGCCGGTCTTCTGACTTTAGGCGCTTTCGCCTGGGCTGCACAAAGTCCTCGTCCGAATCCTCGCTGACACGAGCATCTTCCTCGTGGTCAGATTCCGACTCCAGCAGAGGTGCAAAGGTTTGGTCTGAGTAAATCCCCTGAAGTTTTTCTTCAAAATAGATTTCTAAAGCTTTTCCAGCTTGAGCCACTTCCGAATCCACCTAGAACAAAAATGAGAGCCATCACAGTATTTATTTGGCACTGGCCAAAGAGCAGCCTCAGACACATCTGATTACGCAGCCTTGGATATGTAACAATCACAATTCCTTTGAAACGCTCAGGAACAGGACCCAGCCCTTGGGAAACATGCTCAATAAGCAGCGGATGATCAAAAGTGCGCCCACTCTAAACACGGATTTGAACCTGGATTTAAGACGCCCGAGGTGACAGGTCCACATACAAGGTGGACACAAAATCATGTCTTAAAGCATTGATTTATTTTAAAGTATCATTACACAGGGATATTCAGAACCGTTGAGAATTTTACCAATTAAACATTTTCATCTAAAGAGGATCGTCTTAATAACTTTCATTTCACAGAATACTTTTCATGCTTTACAGTAATAATAAAGAAAGCAGGCGCAACTAACGTGGAAACACATCCACGCAACAACAGGATTCTTATGATAATCATCTTCGATCATTAATTACTCACACAATTTCAGGCACATTTTCAGATGGACTATGTTAAATGTTGATATCAAAACATTTTGGGGGCTTCTGCCAAACATTTCCATGCACAATTTCCATACTCCAATGCCTTTCTGTTCTGCTTTTCCCTCTCCCCAGGTATACACCCCTCTCTCTCTCTCTCTCTCTCTCTCCACAACCAATTCAGCTCAAGCAGCAGACAGGAGGGCTCGCAGCGAGAAATCTACTTTTGTTATTCACGTCTCTCACACCAGCAGCCGACACTGGTAATACTCTCAATCAGGCTGGCACTTCATTGGCTAGAACTCAAATAGCAGAATGCTCCGATTGTTGCTGTACTGGGTCTCTAGGGAATAATAAACAAACGGGTCAACTTTGCCTCATTTTTTTAAATAGATTTCTTAACCAGGAGTACAGAACTCTGCTCCAACCCAACCTACATCTATTCCTGCAGGTCGATGGGACTTCCCCTGAGATTTAAGGAATCGAGTTCAGTATATTTTGGGTGACAACATTGTGTTTATTATCATGAGGGATGATAATGCTGGAAAGAGGAAATGTTTGCCATTTCCGGGCAGCACAATTAATGTAGAGCAAAAGCTCAGTCTAATCTGTCCTGCGTTTCCCCACCCGTCTGTATATCACATTGACTGCACCATATTAATGTGTTCTATCTCCCACACCAGACATTCTCCTGGCTTATCACAGCAAGCCTCTGCCCACACTCACAGCTCAAGCTCACTATACATAAGAAACTTACAGCTGTTGGATAGAGGAGAATTTAAACCCAAGTGAGAGTTAGCATGCACTGTACAGCTAAGCTACTGCGGCACCTAGTCCTGTTCAAAACGTTGCTGATGTGCTAGAAACAGGGCAGAATTCAACAAGAACCTTAAGTACATCTTTCAGTGAGGCACAAGTCTTTTGGTCCTTATCCATCACGTGGAGCTTTTGGAAATAAATTCAACTGATATACATAACAGAGAGAAAAAGGTCTGTCAATAGCAGGGGTGGGTTTTTACCTTGGTTCTCATTTCACTGTCTCTGGTCCTCATGAGGATGTGAGGACCACTTTGAACCCCTGGTAATAGGGTAACCTTAATGAGACAATAAAATGGATAATGTAAATTTGGTATATGCTGCACGGAATGATGTAAAGACATCCATAACGTTTTCTTAATAGATCGTCAGTTTACTCCACATCTGCACTCGTTCAAACATCCAGACCAGAAATCTCTTGATTGAAGTGTAATTTTGATATGAGCTGATCTTCTCGTTCTCTCTTATGGAAACAAATATCCGTGGCCTCCTGGTGCATTAAACGATGGTCCATCATGTGCGATGAAGGTTTTTGTCTTTTAGGAACGTGCCCCCAAGCGCAAAATGTAAAGATTAGTGAAAATTTGCCACTTTTAATAATCACGGCAATTTGTACAGAAACGCTGCTGCGATCAGCGCAATCAACTGGCACATTATTGCAAAAGGGAAAAATAGCCCTTTTCTCAGAGCTTTTAGACTGCATTTTATAATGAGCTCCATTGCTTACTGCTCACAGGGGTGCTGTCAGTCCTCCCACCTCCCACCACCCTCCAATTGTTCATTAGAGACATAGATTGTGGGTGTTCTGTCTAACAAACCAGGAACGTGTCAGATGTTCATCCTTGGCCTATGTTAAGTTAGTTGATCTCTCATCTTCATTGGAGCAGTACTGGGCACTTAATACTTAGGCGGTGCGGGGGAGGGGATCCAGGGGAGGGGGTGTGGATCAGAGTGGGAGGGGGTGCGGGTCAGGGGGGGAGGAAAGAGAAGGGAAAATGGGAAGCGGGATGGCTGCTCGAGGTTCCACTCCCACCAGCCAGTGAGTTTTGGCTGGAGCTGAGTGGATATTGGGTGAGGGAGTGCCATCATCTCAACACCTTTTGTCCAGGGGGGGAGGAGGCTAAAATAAATCCATAGAGCCATAGCCCAGCACGTGGGGAGGGAGGGAAACAAAATGGAGAAAGATGCTTTTGGGATATCAATCATATGCTGAACGAAGGGCGCTGTACTCGATGTTAATCACTGTCCCTCAGTCCTAGTACCTTGGGCTGTAGAGGTGTGACGAAATGACTGGACATTAAAAACAATCTGCCAAAATGTAATAAACTGGATGAGCTGAATGGTATCCTCCTGTTCCAGTTCTACGTTCCTTGGCGAGTGGATAATTGTAAGTGCTGCTAAATATCTTTGAGAGCAACTCGTAAGTTAAATATTCTGATTGTGATAGCGAAGGAACAGTTCATTTTGAACCTTAAGGGAAAATAAATGCCATTGAGCCTATGTGATGGAGCCAGGCCTGTCCATTACACATTACACCGCATTGGAGGAAATTCAACTTCAGTCAAGCACTTTGAAACATTCTCCAATATCAGAAAATCTTTGCGCACAACCTGGAGTATTTTCACCATGAAATAACCCAGAAAAATGATCTTAAGACTAAATGGTAAACATTTTCCACATAAGCAATCCAAACAATAGAACAAAGATGAGAATGAAAGCAAAGCCTTTGTATGGGAACCTATTTTCTTCCTCCCTTTCCTGAAGGTGCTGAGTCTTGTTGGAGTGCAGTCCCACAGGCATTCAGAGTACCTCAGTACCTGGCCATTGATCATGTGTGAGTTAGGCCAAGACAGTGAAAGAATATTTGACTGCAGACAAAATCACCTGCATCACCTCATACCTTCCTTTCCCACAGGAATCACTGACAGAAGCCAGGAGCAGGAACCATAGCCCAGGGGCACTGGAGTCAATTGTAGCGCTCCTACAACAGTCCCAGGTGAGATCAGCTAACTCAGCATTGGCCAGGAATTAAATCTGCAATCTTCTGATGGGTATTGGCTAGTGCTACCTCAAGCAGTGAGTGAGCTTGAGGCATCAAGCCATTAAGGAACTGCAGATTTTACACAAGCCAGATCGAGACCTCAAAGCATCAATCAGCACTTCCTGAATTTTGAACAGTGTTTGATTCATGCTTCAATCTTCAGGATATCTGCAATTTCAACCAAATCACTGATTTCTCTCTGATGGAAACCGCGCCTTGCATCCACTGCTGCTCCAATGGTGCAGTGTACATTAGCTTCCCCACAAGATGATCTGACAGCCTGCTGGGGCATGAAATACAGCGTTTAAACCATGTGGCTACTGCTATACCCTCAAACATCAATTTCTCTGGAGTTGACAACTTATAGATTTATATTTCAGCAGATCAAAAGCAATGATCTCCAGTTCACTAACAGGGCTCACTCAGCCCTTACCTGTAACCTGAACCAGGCTCAGGGAGTGAAGTCAGACATGAAACGTCAGTCCTCCACAAGTGAATTAAATTGAATCTCGAGATGCCTATAGACCACTCTTTCTGATACTATAATAAATTAGCTGCACACCTAGCTTTGCCCTTCAATAGATAGTTTTCCAAAGTTATCTAGGAGCAAAAATTCAAGAACTGATGTGGAATTTGGTTGAGGTTAAAGCAGCACCTCCAGCTCAAACAACTCAACTCTGACTGAATGGAGGGAAACTGATACAAAATGCACACAAATTATTTTAATATTACCTCTTGAGGTATCTTTAGATAATACCACTTGGCACCAATGCCATAAGCTTGCTTGATGATGGCGGTGCCTTGGGATCATTTTCAGTTTAATGTTATTAGCAGCATGCAAGCCATTAAATAAACCAAGTCTTCTGGCACTGAATTTTGTAAGTGATTTGTTGATTTGTCATGTTTTTGTTATGGTGCAAATAGCAACAGAATCCCATTGATGGAGTAGATGGACAGGTCTTTGAAGCCAGCCACGATGGCACGCATACACAAAAGGATCTCACACCACTAAAAGCTCCCCACAGACAACCAACATCACACAGAAGCAAAATAAGCAGACAAAAGCAGCAATCCAGCCAGGAGACTCTCAATGCAGTCCCTCAGAACAGCGGTTAATGGAAAGAAATTCGAGAATAAACTGCACCACTTTTGTGTTCCTAGCACACAAGACGTGTACCTACTTGCTTGTAAAGTCTTTAAATCAAATGCAAGAGTGCTCCCAGTGTAAAAGGGTCACACTAAGGGGAAACACTAAAGAAACTCAGTCTCTACTATCTAGAGAGAAGGCACCACCTTATAGAGGAAAATATAATCCCATGGTGGAGATGTGGTAAACCCAACAGGAAAGTAGGGCAAAGCAATACAAGTTAAAAATAGTGAAAAATACTTTCAAAGCTTTAGTCAGAGACACGTGTTTGGATCAGATAGCAGAAAGGTTAGGAACAAAGGAAAAGCAGCTGGGTACTGTATTGGGTAAGAGAGGGCAGTGGAGCAATGAGAGGGCACCTTCACTAGTTGAATAACCTTTACTTTTAATTTTGGGTGCTGCATTTTGCCCACAAAATACAGTTATTCCACTTTATAGTATATTCTGTGAAGCCCAGATGTGTTAAGGCGCTATACCAAACGCAAGGATTATTATTGTTGTCCGTACCCTTTCCATTTTACTTTATATCTTACATATCTAGAGTTGATATTTTCACGGGTCATTTAATCATGTTCACTCTCATTTGAGTGGGTGTCTGGTGGTTTGTACCCTTCACTTTTGCCAATGACGGCGATACAATCAGTTACAAGCAGTCTGCCTGAACATGTTTGGAAATGTTGTGGGAAAAGACAGGGGTGACCTGACTGCTATGGGAGTCACTGCACCGGTCTGGGGGCACCAATGCAGTTGCATTATACAGCAAATTAATCCAAGAAAGAAAAGACTATACAATAAAGAGGTGCAGAGGTGAGATTTACTAATGTTCAGACGGTACAAAGTCCAGGAAAGAGTTTAATTTTGAGATCAGGTGGTCGGTCTATTGTAGACAACGAGACCATAAAATGGTGGGGTGTCTTATAGCAGTTAAACAATATTACAACAAAGTCACCAAAGGGCGATGTATTCCTGTTCACAACCTCTTTCAGTAAAGGGTGAACCTCAGCCCTGAAGCTCAAATTAAACTCTTCCTGATGTGCTTAAGGTTGTCTGGAATCCCCTCAGAGTGATCACCAAACCCATCAGCACTCAGATCACAGGCGTTGGGTGCAACACATGCAGCAGCCAGAAAGATAACCTCACAAATGCCACTTACTTCATTGAACTTTTCACAGTTCTTGAAAATGAGCCTCACATCAGCGACAAAGTCCTTGGCCGTTTGGTAATGTTCTGAGTGTTTTTTCTGCAACTTCATTTTCACCTTGGATAGATCCATTGGTTTCTTAATAATTTTATAGTAATCTGGAACCTAGAAATGGAAGCAAAGCAGGTGACATTAGCTAGAACACAGGTGGAATAAGTATTTGATCAGATTAAAATTGCTCGTTCAAGGAACCAAATAATCCAAATCACTTTCACATCATTGAATCGCAAGGGGTACTGAAGTACTGACAGTACTTCAGTACCTGTAAACCAGCCAGACCATCCAGCCAGAGGTGCAACAACAACAACTTGCATTTACATCGGGCCCCTCACGCAGGGTAGCATCCCAGAATGCAGTACAGGACCAGAGGAAGCGAAGTGTACAATTTTTTTACAAGGGTCTGTTTCCTCCTGTCCTGAGTCAGTCCAGACCAGGAATCAAGCTCAGGACCTGACAAGTATTGAGCTTTACGGTGGATGATGACAATAGGTGCTGTATTTACCCTGCATATTGATCAGTGGAGCCTGACCTTTTTCCCCGATAAACTCTACATCTTGTGCAGCTGAACTCATACACTGCGCAGCACCCCTGCCCTCGGTTAAATCCAGCCAAAACGGAAAAAATAAAAGCCATGAATGTGCTGAAATTCAACCTGCAAAGAAGCAGGATTCGAGTTGCTGTGTATCAAACGGAAGCACAAGATACTCATTTCAGGAAGTTAAACTTTGTCATCAGCAAATATAATTCCTTCTCTACTGCGATATGCCGGCAATACATGTATAATGCTCACATCCATCTAGAGCAATGTTAGTAGAGCTATTTCATGTACAGCTAAACCTCGCTCGATGTATAGCTGAAGTGATCATACATTTAGAGCTCAGATTCAAAGTACACAAGCACAGGGAATGGTTGCACAAGTCACTTGCTGAGGGATAAATCATGACCAAAGGTGAACAAAGGTCATGTTTACTTCACGTCAACACTGATGGGGAACCAGTATTACACAGTTTCTGCGATAGTTTCTGCACTGGTTTGAGGAGCTTACACCAATAACACACATAAGCACGTTACTTTGCAACGGAACATGACATAAAAGAGAAGATAATCTGAAATGGCAAAAGGATTTGAGGAACAGGATACAGGTCCAGGAGAATGTCCCAATTGAGGCACTTACAGAGGAAGGTACAGGTTCCTGGAATGCAATACTCATTTCATGACAGAAGAGATACAGTAGGAGGCGCTCACACTTCTAGTAAATAAAAGAAACAACTGGTTAATAAAGCTGCATTCAACATGAAATTTTACAGCACATAACAGGAAAGTGAATGCACACGCAGACATGATTTATAGCATCTTATAGGGCTGAGTTACATCTGACTCAATGTTTCAAACCTAAAATCTCCCTGTAATAAAGCAAACACCGAATCTTTTTTTGCCAATTTTCTTTCTTCCTCCTCTCCCTAAGGGCTGATTGCTCAGAAACTGTCCTTTGTAGCATCCTGTCTCAAAACACTTTGCAAATTCATTAAATAATAAAACAACGTGCAATTACACAGCGCCTTTCACATCAGAAAGACGTCCCAAGGCGCTGGACAGTCAGGGATTTGGACCCGAGCTGGAGGGACGGTAGGGGTAGGAGGGTGACCAAAGACGCGGTTGAAGAGAAGGGTCTTGAGATGGGCCTTGAAGGAGGCAAAGGGCGGAGCGAGGTGAAGGGACTGTGAGATGGAGTTCCAAAGGGTGGGGACAGAGAGACTCTGGGTATCCGAAATTCATACCACGCCTGAAATAGGAAAACGTGTAAAATTGCACAGCCTGCCCGCGTGTAACCACCCACTGGCCCACCCTCTTACCCCCACCTCACCACTCTCGCTGGTCTTCAGTGGCCGGGCATAACAACTTTGACTCAGTTTGAATCCGCTTATTGGATATCTTCCGCTTGCAGGATTCAAACAATTACAAAGCCGGTGCCGGCACTTGCCGGTCGGTATTTTTTGGCATTGAAAATAGCCAGTACCACCATTGTAATTACACTGAGCCCCAAATCCCTCAACAACAGGATTACATTTTTATAGCGCCTTTCACGTCGGGAGGACGTCCCAGGGCGCTGGACAGTGTACAGAATTTCAGACCCGAGCTGGGTCGGGGGGGTGGGGGGAAGCAAAGCTGATACGACAAAACAGTCATTTTGACAAATAGGGCAAAAAAACATAAACGTCTACACTGCGGATCTAACACTTCACATTAAAAATTATTCTGATGTTCCAATTCAATGCTTAAATATTTCAGAAACCGATATGAGGTGTTTTAAATACAACCTGGTGCCAAGTGCTAAGGTAATCTAACTGTAAGAGGAATAAAAACACTTAAACAAACCTTTTATTAAATTTGTATAAATAAAACTCACCCTTTGGTCAACTGGGATCAGGCTTGGGCCTGTTTTTCCCTTGTTTATATGATGCAGGTTGTCACAATCATACTCTACTTCAGGGTTGGACAGATCCCTGCAGAATGTGCAGATCCATTCCCCGCTTAACGAGAGGAAGAAAAAGGAGCCAAAAATAGTTTTATTAGTCATGCCAGAAAAAGCAATGCGCATCAATACCAGTCAATGCTCCATTATAAAAGCCGTGTAGTGTAGTGGTTAGCTCACTCGCCTCGCAAGCGAGAGAACCTGGGTTCGATTCTCGGGCAGGGTGAAACGTTGGGCAAGTTTCCTTACTCCACAAGCCTGTTTATCTAACAGTAGTAGGAACCCGGTTGATTGGCAGATTGTTTTCTGGGGGTAATAATCCCTTCAAATAAATAAATAAATAAATAAATAAATATTTTTGTGATACTCAATCCATGACCGTTGTGGGACACTGCTGTGCACAACTGGCTGCGGCGGTTTGCCAACAAAATGTACATTTGATTCACTTTACAGTATATTCTGTGGTACTTTCAACATCTCAATGATGTGATAAGGTGCTATATCAAATACAAGGATGATTATAAGGATTATTATAGAACACCTCCCCGCTCACTAGATACACAATGTACAAACTATTAAACAGATAATCAGACAGATCTGAAAGCTCAGGAATCCTTTATTACATGTGCAAAATGTCAAAAACCTGACCAATTCAGCAACAGTAAGAAAAGAGGGAAAACGTGGTCCCAAAGTGAGACATGAAGCAAAAGAGGAAGGGGATTTTACTTAAAAAAANGAAAAGCAGAAGGCAACCAAAAGAGAAATGGAAAAAAAACTTCATTTTCGGTGAAGATCTCTGAAGATACGAACTGAATATGATCGTTTTTTGCCTTCTGCTTTTCTTTGATTTAAAAAAAATCCCCTTCTTCCTTACTTCACTTCTCATTTTTGAGCCACATTTTCTCTTTTCTTACCGGTTTCTCTCTGCTTGTATTTATTCTCCTTCCTTTCAGCTGCTCTTGTGTTCTTTTTTTTGCTGTTTACTTCCCCCACTGCCACATCGAAAAGCCACAATGCAGCTGAACCAATGAAAAAAGTTATAATACACTATTGTTGTGCAAGAAAGTGTTGAGGTTTGTGCTATCCCGGTGCTGAGAGCTATTAAAGTCCTGGCATCAAATCTGCCTCCACTCTCAGGAACTCCATTCCAGAATTCCTCTGCCCCGTCTTCCCCCCCCCCACACCCTCAGTAAGTAAGATAGTAAGATCTATCTTTTCAACCGTGCCCACCCCCCCAAAGTCAGCTCTGTGTAGCTCTGTGAGACGTCCTCTCAATATGAAAAGTGCAACATAAATATAAACTGTTGTTGCGTACTGCGTTTTCAATGCAACTGTTTGGCAAAATGCATCAGTGACTTCAGGAGCATTCTCTCTAATATGTAGAGGGCAAACTGCATTCATCGGTGGCTATATTACCTTACTACAGTTTAACACTATTAAGACGTAAGACTGAACTATTTTTGCTTTCAGGAAAGGTATCATTGCATAATTTATAACATGAACATCAAAAAAACTTGTACACCAGGCATACACACAGCCGTGCACCAATATCTTACTACACAGATTAAATGCAGCACAAAGCATCTGCAGATTATATGGACTCGGCTCACATCAATAAAGCTTTCAGCTGATACTGCGTTTAGAAAAGAGAAGTCATTTCCCCCAGAGTTCAGAAGTAATATCATTAATTCAGCAAAAGTGAATAATCTTGGGAAGTATATTTAATGTTAGAACAATACTGGATAACAGGCTCAACAGGGATTACGTGAATTTTCCCCACGATAAATGCAGTTCATCTAAGTTTGAGCCTAGTGGACGTCAATGGTCTTGTACTATGTGCGAAAAACACTGCTCCTACCACTACTCAGGTATAAAGGAGGCCACAGACTTACCTGGGAAAGGTGAGCAGTGTGGGGACGTGACACGACAGGTGGAAAACCTTGGGACACTTATCGCAGCACAGCAGGTCCCCTCCGTTCTGACACACTGCGCACCAGTCCTCGTTTGGGTCATCGTCCTTGTTGCTGTTGTCCCCCGCGGTCCGTGGCGAGCGGTGCGCAGTGCTGCGGACGGGCGACTTGCCATTAAAGGTGCTGACACCAGACTGCTTGCAGCTCCCGGTCCTCTCCGTGCGCTCAATCTTCACGTGGTTTTCAAGGTTGCGTAGACCTTCGATGTCGGTTTCGCTCTCGGAGTGTAAATTGTTGGAGAGAGGAGGCGTCAGGCTGCTCTCAGGGCTGCTCATCTGTACAACAGCAAGTTTGTTCACGTATGGTTATTGTGCATTCGTAACGGTTTAAGCTATCAGTATAAACTTTTTAGATTTTAAGACTTTCACCACCTCACTACTACACATGGAGTGAGGGCTCAGGCCTGCACTTAAGACACCAGATGATGAACTTGTGAGCTTTCTCCTGAGATTCAGGGGGAACAGAAGCACAGTCCCCTTGGAGCTGAGCTAGCTTTGAGGTAACATGTTTGGCAAACAGAATGTCAAAATCAAGCCAATCCTCTGTGGCAGCCCCGGTAATCCTGAGCATCGGCAGTACTCCAGTCACTGGGAGCAAGGATTCTTCCCGCTCAGCTCCTGTCAACCCTCGAGCCAAAACCTTATACTCTCCAGAATTATGTAAGCAGGTTGTGTCCCTCCAGAGAGAGTGCACATTCCACTCCAGACGTAGAGAAATTTCATTGTACATATGTGGAACTCAGTCAGGTTTGAATATACTTAAGAATAGTGATGGGTTTCCACATGAGTTCCCCGGCTGATCAAAAGGAAGGCTTTCCTTTTCATCATATGGCACCATGGGACGTCCTCCCGACGTGAACAAATGTACAAATGTAATTTTGTGTTGTCATTTTTATATTGTACCAGAACTCCACAACCCATTAACCATTCTCTAGTTGTTGCACGACAATAGGAATTTTTCACTCACACCTGGACCTGGATAAAAACCTGCTGATTTTCCCTTCCATTCCTGCAGAGAAGGCAATTTCTAACATCCTATCACTATTCCTCAGCCTTGAGTAACACTGTGGAACCCAATTCCTAAAATCCAATAACCCACTTCAAGAGCCTTAGGTTATATTCCGTGGGAATTTTCTTACTGGCGGACGTTAAAGGATGATCTGTTTTTGGTCTTCAAAATAACAATGGGAATTGATAACCTTTGCATTTGATACAACATTCGAAACACTTCACAGAAAATTACTGTCAAGTGTAGTGAGTGTGCATTTGTAGGCATATGTGGCAGCTTATTTACACACACCAAGGTCCCACAAACATGACACATAAATTATTTAATTTATCTCATGACTCATGTACAATTATTTAATTTATCTGGAAATTTGTTGGCCAGGACACCAGGAGAAACTCCCTTCTCCAATAGTGCCATGGGATCTTTAACACCCAGTCACACCTAGTTGCACACACAGGCATTAAACCCTGCTTGGTTTAATGTTTCACCTAAAGGGTAGCATCTCACAAAATGTAGCCTTACTCAGTGCTGTTTGGAGGTTCATCCTACTCTGTGACCCTGTCACAATAATAATAATAATAATCCTTGCATTTGATAATAGCGCTTTTCACGTTGGGAGGACGTCCCAAAGCGCTTCACAGAACATACTGTAAAGTGAATTGACTGTATATTTGTGGGCGAACGCAGCAGCCAATTGCGCACAGCAATGTCCCACAAACAGTCGTAGATTGAAAATGACCAATTTATTATTGTTTTTGGTTTTGGAGGGATTATTATTAGGCTCTGTGTGGAGTAAGGAAACTTGCCCAAGGTTTCGCCCTCTGCCTGGAATTGAACTCAGGTCTCTCACTTGCAAAGCGAGTGCTCTAACCACTGAGCTACAGGACTCCACAAAAGTACTGTCAGAAGTGGGTGTGGCGTATGTGCTCACAATTCTCTGACCCAAGAGAGCTACCAACTGAGCCAGGCTGACAGTGACAGTGTGGATTGTCAAGACTTGCAAACATTGTGTTGTTCCACCCTGTTACAAACACAGAAATCAGTATCCTGTTTCTCACATCATCAACTCTCGAATCGGTTTCTCCGCTTCCCCCAAATTCTTTCCAACTATATTTAAACATTATTTGAATTTTGACAAGTGATATATTTTAACCGTCTTCATTGTAGGTCTCTTTGTAGACTGCAAAGTAGCCCAAGACAGAGTGTGGCGATATCTCCAGGATCTTCAGATCAGAACATCAGGGAATAAGCATGTGCCCATCTCTTGGAATAAGTTTTAACCATTCCAGAGCTCATGACCCATTAAATATTCATTGCCTTCAGGAAACTAAATTCTCATCTAGGTGGGATCCGAATGTGAAAAAAACTATAATGAAATGTATCCTGAAAATAACAGCCCTGGATTATATAGAATAACTGATATCAAGGAGTTCCTTACATGGCTGTAACGCTAATCTAAAACCTCGAGTTGCATTCAAAACCACGGGAAGAAGGCAAGGTCACCTGAACTACTGGATTCGGTAACACCTTTGTAACTTATTCCTACTTTATACGTTTCAATTGTCACTCTTTTTATTTTAGTTTGGGAGAACAAATTACAAATGCTACTGCCAAATTATATAATATAATAATAATCCTTGCATTTGATATAGCGCCATATTACAACTTCAATGACGTCTCAAAGCACTTCACAGAATATATTGTAAAGAATATACTGTAAAGTGAATTGACTGTATTTTGTGGGCGAAATGCAGCAGCCAATTGCACACAGCAATATCCCACATACAGGTATGGTTTGAGTGACCAAATTATCATTATAACAATACCATGGGGTGACAGAAGAGGTCACTGGGATCCGTCCTGCCATGGGAGGGTTAGGATTGGGTATGTGCATTCCTGCGGCCTATTATATAAACATACTCTGGTACAATCGAGAAACCAAGACAATATCAGACTACCGACTGTAAGTGTAAACAAAATGGGAAAAGAGAAACTGGGCCTAAGAACACCTCTTGATGAATATGGTTGGTTTATATAAGTCCACAGCTCATCTTCCCTCTATTTTACACTTGAAGGTTGAATTACTGAATTCCAGTGATACCTGATGCAAGAGCTTATCAACCCCACACTCTGCTCAGTCCACACATGTATCCATTGTAACAGAATCCTCTATTACTCATTTACTTCATGGTTTGTGGAACATTGTTGTGAGGAAATTGGCTGTTATGTTTGCCTACAAAATACTGAGTCGCTACATCTTACACTACAGTAATTACTGTGAAGTACTTTGAGAGATTCTGCCAACGTGAAAGGCATTACATCAAATGCAAGAATTTTTATTATGGCCGAATAGTTAGCACTGTACTGAAACTATACAACACCATTGGCAAATGCCATGGTTTACATCTGTCACAGATTTAACTCGCTATCAACAACAACTACAAATTAGATTTGTATAGTGTCTTTCACGTCGGGAGTCAATGGTACAATGCCGCAGAATTCGCCAGTATTAAAATTCTATGCATCGGCTATAAAAGTAATGTCATTAATTAACCAGACTTAACCCTTGATCACAGATTATCCACCAGAAAATGTAACTAAATAGCTGCAAATCTTCAAATTTACCATACAGGCGCTTCTCCGACCATCTTCCAAATGCTCGTGTTTTACAGTAGCCACAGAGAAGCTGCACACATCCTCCTCTGTGCCCGGCTCTTGCTTGATCTTCACTTGATCTGGTCGGAAGACTGACACTCCCCTCTCTGTACAGTGAGCTCTACCAGAGGAGCTACAGCTGTAAGGAAGCACACACACAATTAAGTGCTGAGGTAAAGTTGAAAAATCAAGAAATCCACGGATTGGTTATGGTTGAAAGTGCTAGTAGGTACAGGGTCTGAACATACGCTCCCAATTCTACTCCAGACTGAATTTTTAAAATAAAAATACAAAATATCTTCAGTGCCAAATATTGTGTGAGTTTTCTCCCCTTCTCTCGAAACCACCAAATGGGGTGCTCTCTCTCAGCGCCAATAGTCCTCCAGCACACTGCCCAAATGGCTACTTTTCACATCATGTCCACACAGTGTCAACAGGCAGTGGAGGTGGAGGGCTTTAAATCTGAACTCAAGCAACATCCACTTTACATCAAACATCAGTGGATGGCGATCTGTAGTTTTAACCGAAGCTGATTATTTCTCTCCCTACTTCAGAGGCCTCAAGACCAGTTGTACCTTCCCAACTGAGACCAACTTGGGTCAATGCTGATTATCTGCATGCCTATTTATCCACACAGAGGTCCAGTGTGACAGCTGGCAGGTAGTTGCACGATGATAGCAAAGCATTCTATTGTGCACATGGATTACTAGGGACATGATTTCCATGGTTCACATGACAAGTAAGCTCCTGTGTAGTGCAAAGTCTTTAGAATGAAAAGGAAAGGAAGGGGTCTGTATAAAGCATGATGGAACAATGTTGTAGTTCAGTGTAGCCAAGTCTGCACTGTTTGCACATTGGGACTGCTTCCAATTAATGCAGATAATCAGCTCTGTACTGTCATCCAGTGAGGGTGAGGTATTGAATCTACGACTGGCTGAGCACTCTCTTTACCTACTAAACCATCATGAACACCACCACTAATTTTCATTTTTCCTTGTAATTTAATGCAAGGAGCTATCCAGCAAGATATGAAAATGTACTTAATACCACAAGTGCTGTTTATGTGGATTTTCTTTTGAAGCAAAGCACTTACCTGCCTCTGCTACCAGTACTGGAGGTACTTGACGGTCTGACTGGCATGTGGGAGTTAAGCATTACCATGGCTGAAAATGAAATACATCAAATAATTCCTTAGTACGTTTGCATTCATTCACTCTAAAGCTCTATGGAAGCAGTGATAGCAAAGGGAACTAACACAAGCGCATTTTAATAATAAATAATAATAATCCTTACATTTGGTATAAGGCCTTTCATGTTGGGCGGACATTCCCAAAGTGCTTCACAGGATATACTGTAAAGTGCAGCAACTGTGATTTTTGTGGGTGAATGCAGCCAATTTTGCACACAGCAATGTCCCACAAATAGCCATGAAGTGAGTGACTAATTTTATTTGGGGGATTGTTGACCAGGACACTGGCAAAACCTCCCTTCCCTTTTTCAATGGGATCTTCAATGTCAACCTGAACAGGTAGACAGGGCCCTCAGTTCAACACCTCATCCGAAAGATGACACTTGACAATGCAGCACAACCCAGTACTGCATTTAAATGCCAGGTTAGATTTATGGGAGTTGAATTCCTGGGGGGGAACAGTAAATACGTAATAATCTTTGCATTTGATGCAGCGCCTTATCAAGTCTTCAAGACGTCTCAAAGCGCTTCACAGAATATACTGTAAATTGAATTGACCATAGATTTTGTGGGCGAAACATGGCAGCCAATTGCGCACAGCAGTGTCCAACGAACAGTCGTGGATTGAGTGACCAAATTCTTATATTTTTAGTATTTTTTTAAGGGATTATTACCACTGGAAAAACAATCCACCAATCGACCAGGTTCCTACTTACTGCTTGTGGAGTAAGAAACCTTGCCTAAGGTTTCACCCTGCCCAGGAATCAAACCCAGGTCCTCTCACTCACGAGGCAAGTGTTCTAACCAATATGCTACAGGACTCCACAGATACTGTCTTTTCGGCTGATTATGCTAAACTGGTCAATTCCACCTCTAAATCCAATTAGATCTATGAAACTGAGATGATGTTAGTATCACCAATAACCATCCTCAGATTACATGAATATTTAATATGGAATAAACGTAAGCATTCAATTTCAAATCTCCTGGAGCACAAACCTTATTGAAGTCAACACGTGTACCAGATTTGACCAGTGCCGTGGGACATTTTCAAGGCTGAGACTGATAGATTTTTTAAAAATAGAGGGATTAGGGGATATGGGGATAGGGCAGGTAATTTGAGTTAGGCCAGAAGATCAGCCATGATCTTATCGAATGGCGGGGCAGCTCGAGGGGCCAAATGGCCTACTCCTGCTCCTAATTCTTATGTTCTTACATTCTCACGACACAAAAGGCGCTATATAAATGCAATGTTGCTGTTGTGTGGGTTTCCAGTTTCATACAATCAGTTTTCTTTCATCATCAAAATACCAAGTCGCAAAAAGACAGTAAGAGAAATAAGGAAATAATTTAGCTATGAATTTCCCTCAATTTTTAATAATATTTTAATTGCCAACTTAATGCATTAATCATAGCCAAATAACCTGGGCTTAAGGACAATTAAACCTTGCAAATCTTGAAGTTTCATAAACGACCCGAAATGTAATCAACATAGCTTAAAATATTATAAATAAGCACTATGTAACTATAGTATATTACCATCACTTTAAGTTACCCGAGTTTCTGAGAAAACATCTTAGTTTAATTTACATTTGTGCATCAGTGTGGTTGCAGAGAGCCCCAGCGTGTTGGTTTCTGCGGGCACTTACTTGCTGGTCCAGGTGATGGTGCGGAGGGTCCAGGGGATGGGTTGGAACTAGAGGATGGTGGCAGAGGTGGCTGGTGATGACTGTCTGAGATAAATCTGTTCAGCAGATGGTCTAACGTACTTGATCCAGCATCGTCCAGCTGCAAACATACATAACATGAAAGAAAATAAGCCATGAAACAACTCGAATCCAGCTTCCACTGATGTAGCATTCCAGGGAGATGAGAATTAAAACTTTAATACTCTGAATCGTTTATGGTCATTAAGATTCTGAAAGGATTAGATATTGTAGACCATGATAAGTTGTTTTATCTTGTACTGAGCAGCAAAACCAAAGAATACAGCCTGCGATTGAAGGGGGGTAAATTCAAAACCAATCTGCGGAAACACTTATGGAACAGGCCCCCCAGGGAGTCAGTGGAAGTAGAAAGTGTTCTTTGTTTCACAAACAAATTAAATAGATTTCTGCTAGAAAATAATATCTCAGGATACAGTAAATAGTTTAGGACACGATGTGTCAAGCGACTGCCAGGATGGTGGAAGGTGAACCGAATGGACCTTGGTCTTCTGTCACCAGCAAGTTCTTATGTTTACGCTGCCTCCAGTATGTGGATGGATAAAGGATAACAGAATGGCACTGAGATATCGACTAAAAGTCAAGTATGATTTTTTGGCAAGATCCTAGGGCTTCACTAGCATCAGTTTGACAGAATGCAAGTCTCAGAACTCACATAATTAACAGATGTCAATTTCACAAAAGTAGCAAATCTACATCATGTCTTCCATTGAAGTGCGTGCACGTAAAAAAGAAGCCTCCTTGACTGAACTGTGACACGCCTTAATATTTGTAGATTAAACGTAGCCTTTCCCACTGAGGTGCTGGTTAAAGCCAGTCTGTGAGCAATCGAATATGTACATAGAGAGAATTAACCCTTGTGTATCACTGAAGTTCTACTCTGGTTACACCATGACTTGTTAGCAATGCCCCTCAGGAAGCGCTTGACAGTCAAGGTTGTGCTGCGCTGGATTTGGGATCAGGAGGTGTGGAGGGCAGCGAGGGTGGGGGTAGGAGAGTAACCAAAGTAAACAAAAAAAACAAATAAAGTGATCAAAACCACGATCAACGAGGAAGATTTTGAGGTGGGCAAATTGATTTTAATTTAATTTAAACCAAATTCCTGTCTGCCTGTTCAGTGGATGTTAAAAGATCCCACAACACTATTCGAAACTAGTTTTTCCTGGTGTCCTGGCCAAGAATCCCCAAATAAAATCTGTTTATTCTCTCCATGGCTGTCTGTGGACATTGCTGTGCTCAAATTGGCTGTCACAATTGCCTAAATGTAACAGACACTATAATGAATCCTATGACGTGCTTTGAAATGTTTTTCTGACATGACAAACACTACACTAATGTAAGGATTATTAGCACAAAGTTCTCTGCCCAATAAATAACCACCAATTAGTTTATTTTTAATTCAGCCTTTACCTATAATTAATCAGTGTGAGATTTAATCACGGTGATAATTAATCAGTGTGATAATTAATTAGTGCAAATGGAGCCTCACTGAGAATAACTGGTGATTAAGGTGCAAATGAGGTGCTTAACAGTGAAGGATTAGGTCTTGATCTCAGCTGGCACAGTGCTCCTTTGCAGAATGGGAGGAGGGGGAGAGAATATAAAATAAACCTTCTTCTTCCATACCCCAATATTTTCTTACTTTAACTCCAACAATCCTGGGTGGTGCACTGACTACCCTCAGCTTCCCCCTCCCTAAAAAACAATTACAGCGCTTAAGCACAGAACCAAATCAAGAGATATGCCCACATCAATGGAGAATTCAGTACCACACTTACAAATCAGAAATTAAACATTTTATCGCACATCTCTTAAAATTCAGTCTCTGTCATTTTATGGAATTCAAACAAGTGGTGCACAAAGTCATTTTGCGCAGGAACAATCCCTCACTAGTCGCACAGATCACAGATAATAATCCTTGCATTTGATATAGCGCCTTATCACAGTGTTGAGCCGTCTCAAAGCGCTTCATAGACTACATTGTAAAGTGGAATGACTGTATTTTGTCGACAAAACACGGCAGCCAATTGCGCACAGCAGTGTTCTAGTCGTGGATTGAGTGACGGCACTTTTTTTGAATGGATCATCATCACCGCAAAGCGATCGGCCAATCAACTAACAACAGGGTTCCTACTTACTGCTAGATGAACTGCAATGTGTTGAGTAAGGAAACTTGCCTAAGGATTCGCCCCATCCGGGAATCAACTCAGGTCATCTTGCTTGTGAGGCGAGCGTGCTAACCACTGAGCTGCAGAACTCCACTAGTCGTATAAATTATAAAGACAGCAAAAGCTCGGTAATTAGCTGAAGCTGTTTTGATTGCTGGTAAAATGGCCACTAATTGACATTACAGGGCGATGTCCGTTATACTCCTGAGAAATTAAATGATACCGACCTGAATGGGAGGGATATCTGGAAGCGGAGGCAGGTTCTCTGGGTTCGTCACTGAAGGAATCAGCTCTATGGTCGCGACTGTGGGACTGGTGGGCCCCCGGTTGGCAATTGCTAAGCTGGCAGTGGTGGGGCTGGTGGGGTTGGGAATGCTGTTGTGCACAGTGGTCGCAGGGAAGGGTCCCGTGTGCCCAGGATTTGAATGCTGTTAGAAAACAGAAGTAACAGATTGGGTTAGTAACAGCCCACTTGATAAACTCTTTTGAATTTGCTCTTCAGTGATACTGAAAGAGGTTGAAAAAGGCTACAACAAGCTTCCAAGAGCCAGTCTGGTTATGTTTATAATTCCACAGTCACTGCAACCATCTGCAATGCTCAAATAAAGGCAAATTGCATTGTTGCCTGGCTTAGTGTGTATTCCAACCATCATAGCAAAACACCAGTCCCCAACAGTAATGTCAGTCGTCCCCAGAATAACAATGGCAGCCAAAATCAACAACTTGCATCCACAGGATAGCACCTCAGAGCACTGCACAATGGCAGGGTTGGATGCAAACAAGAGAGTAAGGGGGAGTTGACCATAGGTGCAGTTGAAGAGGTAGGTCTTCAGGTAGGATCTAAAGGTAGAGACAAAAGGATTGTGGCAGGGGGTTCCAGAGGTTAGGGCGCAGTGATCGTAGGCTCGGCCACCAATGGTACAGGGAGGGTTTGAGGGGACGTGCAGCATGCCTGTGTTTACTGAGCGGTGGGCAGAGGAGTGGCATACGAATAGGTCAGAGGTGCTGCAGTGTGAAAGGATTTATATATGAGGATGAGTATCCTGAAATTGATGCATTCGGAGACAGGAAGCCTGGCGAGGATTGGGGTGTTGGGCGATAAACCTGTAGCTTTAGAGTATTGTAAATCTCTTTACCTGTCTTGGGATTTGTGGTTGCATCATTGGATACTGGTGCCCATTGTTACGAGTCATCCCTGCCATGCGAGCAGCATTTTGCACCATTCGCATCTGATGGGCTTGATGGGCCTGGTGAGCTTGAAGTGCAGCACCATTCAAATTCCCTCTCTGCATGGTCTGCATGCTGATCAACCGAGGAGGCTGAAAGAGTTATAACAATAATCAGACTTGGCAGAATCTAGACTCACTTAGCATTTGCAGCGCACCGTATATGGTCAAAACATCTTTTAAGAGCTTTATCGTAATTATTATTAAGTGCATCTGTTGGGAGAGAAATGCAGCCTTTACATTTGCACACAGTGAGGTCCCTCAAAGACAATTAAAGCAGAGCTAAGTTCATTTCAGAAGTATTCCAACTGGTTCTCACCCCAGGCAGAGAATTTATCAACAGACATGGAAGTGTTAAATGGCAATTTTAGCCAGCTAAATAACAGTACTAACTCTGCACGAAACATGTAATTCCAACTACAAATGCACCGTCACTACAGTAAAATCCTGTGCAGCATTCTGAGACATCGACACTATATCTATAATAATAATCCTTGCATTTGATATAGCGCTTTTCACATCTTCCAGATGTCTCAAAGCGCTTCACAGAATATGCTGTAAAGTAAATTGACTGTATATTTGTGGGCGAATCTAATACAAGGATTATTTTTATTATAACACTGAAGGTAATAAGAATGGGAATGAGGAGGGAATTACCTCTTCAGTACTTACAATTCTATACCTTTGGGCTTGTCTAGTCCTGTACTGTGTTTTATTTGCAAATGAGGCTGCAATAATTAATAAAATTCCTACTTGCATTACAAGTGATTACAAGGACTCAATATGTAATAATAATAATCCTTGCGTTTGATATAGCGCTTTTCACGTCTTCTCGACGCCTCAAAGCGCTTCACAGAATAGACTGTAAAGGGAATTGACGGTATACTTGTGGGCGAAACGCGGCAGCCAATTGCGTACAGCAGTGTCCCACAAACAGACGTGGATTGAAAATGACCAATTTATTATTGTTTTGTTTTGAGGGATTATTATTAGGCTCTGTGTGGAGTAAGGAAACTTGCCCAAGGTTTCGCCCTCTGCCTGGAATTGAACCCAGGTGTCTCACTTGCAAGGCGAGTGCTCTAACCACTGAGCTACAGGACTCCATATATCCAAGATAAATGAGTTGTACAGAACACGCGGCAATCCGACTGTTACAGCCATCTTTCTGCCCCATTATTGGGGCTATGCATTCAGACACCAAAGAATTCAATAGATGCAACTGTCTGCCTGACATTATTTGCCCCATAAAATATTTTAACCTCAACTTTGTATAAAAAGCTGCAGTAGGGTTCTTTACCTTTTTGGTGTAATAGCCTATTTTTCGTTGAATAAAATAGATGTGGTATATTTCATTAAACTAATAGGAGGTGTACCTGCTGCTGAACCATTTGCTGGGCTGTGGGCACTCGGGTCTGCTGTGAGGTTGGGTGAGCCAACCTCATCTGTTGCATCTGCTGCTGTTTCTGTGCAAACTGCTGCTGCATGTGCTGCAGACGCAGCTGTGCGAGGTTAATCTGCCCCGGCGGTTTCCCACTTGCTGGCACCTGCACCTGGGTGCTGTGCCCGATGACTACATTGGGCGTGTAGGTTGGAGGATTTGGCTTGTTTTCAATCACAAGGTTACCTAGAGAGGCAGAGAAAATAAAGCCATTTACTTTTTAAGAGGTACTTTATCACATTACTAGGATGCCAATCAACATAACCTATACTGTCTTTCCCAGTCCCAACAAGACCCCAAGCAACTGTTCAGACTAAGTGCCCAAAGTGCAATGATTGCCAGTACACTCATTCACAAGCAATCCAAGGCTTCAGTATCATTATTCTATTGGCCAAGACACAGGACAAAAGCTTTGTTCCCTCATCTTACATGCAACGGTGTGATCCTAGATTGCAGTCTTACATTTATTTTCAAACGAACAATTTGAGAAACAAAGGTGACCGTTGTCCGATACCCAGCATAGCCCCACAGCTCTAAACAGTAGCTTGAGTTAAAATTCACCCAGATTAAAAATATAAGGAAGAGACTGAATAATTATAGGGGGAAAAGAAGAGGCCATCGAAAAAATACATGCAAGATACAATGTTGAAATTGCCTTTAAAGTGAGTGGGATGTAGAAAGCGCTAACTCTAGCATTGAAACATAGCGCTGCATCAATGCTCAACATCCTGCCCCCACTGGCCCTTCTTATTCAGAAACAATATCCAACTCTAAAATTACATCAATGATGTCAGGAAATAAAGGCCAGCGGTATAAAGCCCAGCTGTAGATAAGAGTAATATATTGAGAGGAGATCAGTCAGCGATGTCAAGAGCAGGAAAACAGCCACAAGAATACCACACAGGTAATGGATAATTAAAGGAGATGAACTACACCTCCCAGGTTAGAAAGCCAGGCTTCCTGATCATAATTACTAGGACAAATACAGATCTATGATATTCCACCCCACAGTGTAATTCACTGTTAGATACCTGTATAGCTACTAAGGGTTACATGCATCTGTAAAACCAACTCTATCCCCTCTCTTCATAGCGGGAGGGGAATAGGGGAGGAAGGATGGGAAGGAACATAAGAGAAATATACTTATTTTTCAAGACAAAAATAATTATTTTATTAAGCTTTGCTTACCTAAATTCACAACATTTTTTGCCCAGAATGTAGGATCACAGTGGAAACGGACTCCACCATTAGCAGCCGGCACCGGGTCACACCGAGCTCGAAGAATATGGCGCAACTGAAATGTAATCTGTAACATAAAAATAATTCAATTTGTCCCTGTAAATATTCACCAAGTAGCGCTTTGCTCAGCCTGCAAAAATAGTTTAACACTATTCACATTAAAAGTTTGTTTTTCTCCAGTTGAATGTCGATAAGAAGCTTTCTGGCTTGGCTCCCAGCAGTGCCTCCTCACCTCAGGCGCTGACAGCATCACTATTCAGTAATGCACTCTCCACCTAATTAAACCAGTTCAGAACCTTGGTGTCTCATTTGACACTCAACTGTCTTTTGAACCTCACATCCGTATAACATGATCCATTCTGCCTTCCCCACCTCCGCAATATTGCCTGCCTCCACCATCACTTCTCCCTCAGGCTGCCGAGACCATCATTCATGCATTCATTACACACAGGTTCTCTACTAACTTCCTGCTAGCAGGACTACCCAACTCTTCCCTCCAGAAGCTGCAAATTATTCAGAATTCTGCAGCTCGTGTCCCCTCCTACACTAAGCTCCATGAGCCGATTATGGACCTTCGCCCAGCTTTACTGATTCCCTATCCCACACAAGGATCGAATTTAAGATCCTCATCCTCACCTTGAAAGCCCTTCACGGTCTTGCTCTTCCCTACCTCTGGGACCTACTAAAACGTTACCGACCTGTCAACTACCTCTGCTCAGCAGGCACTGGCGTGCTCCATCTCCCCCGCCCTGCCCAATCCACTGTCGCGGGTTGGGCCTTCAGCCTTTCTGCACACCCCCAACCCACCCTCTGGAACACCAACCCGGAATCCCTCCGCCTTGTCCCCTCTCATGCCTCATTCAAGGCCCATCTCAAGACTTCCACTTTGACCGTGCTTTCAGTCATTGTTTCACTGAAACCCCCACCCTCCACCCCTTGACTCCAATCCCCAGGTTGGGTGCAAATCCTTAACTATACAGTACCTTAGGACGTCCTCCCGACATGAAAGGCACAATATAAATGCAATGTTATTGCTGGTGATAAAAAACACAAAGTCCTCAGTCATCTTGCGTTATGTGGTGGGTGAAGGGGAGGTGGCAGTAAATCTGACATTCTAGTGTATTTCTCCGTGATACTGTTGCCAATCTGACTAATGTACTTCACAGACAAAACTAGACAAGATGATAGAAAAGTTCAGTCAAACACGCGTCAGTGCACTCTTTAATAACAGACATTAGAAGTGTGTCACACTCTTCCAAGGTTTGTGTACCCAAAATGAGCTAGATCCTCGTACAGATAAGTACATCTTCAAGCTACAGATAAGATGCATCTTCAAGCTTCTATTTCTACTCAAAGGAATAGATGTAAATAAAATCAAATTTTAATTACCAGGAATGCCTGAACCGACATGTTCAAAAGCAGCTTGACACTGCTGCAGGCTGAGCCTGTTATAGAGTTGAAAAGATCGACAAGACCTTCCTCTTCGGTCACTCTCCTACCCCCACCCTCCCTGCCCCCAACTCGGGTGCAAATCCTTGACTGTCCAGCCAGCACCTTGGGCAGCCTGCGACGTGAAAGGCGCTGTACACATGTAATTTGTTGTTGTAGTTGAGGTTTAGGTGCATAAGCCCCCATTGTAAAGAGGCTGCTGAAAGAAAGGGCTCCCGGTCAGCTTTCCCGTGGTTGTCCCTGAAGTTTCCTACGGCTTGCACGGTATCCACAGGAAATGGCACTGATGTCAGCTCATTTGCAAAGTGATGTCAGCAACACTGACTGTGCATAACATGCATGCTTGGTGCAGACAGCCAGGAGTATACACAGTATACTCCAGTGTTACAATGCATTATAATTGGGTCACTCTCCACTGTGTCTCAAACATCAGCCCACAAAGGACTGGGTGCACTTGACTGCCGCTTTTCATTGTACGTTTTGAAATCAATCAAATGAAGGTGAAGAAGGCCAGCTACTACAAATGAAGGACAAGTGTAGACTTCCCACTCCTGTGAGGGATGTGCTCAGAAATAAGTGTTAACCATCACATTTATCGGTCGGTGAATTTTACATCTGCTAGCAATTAGATGTGATTATTTTCACTGGGCTGTACATGTGGAACAATGTGCAAGGAGACAGATCGGCATTATACACTCTAGACATAACGATGGATCGAATTCTGCGAATGCTAATGGGTCTTATAGATCATAATAATACTTACATTTGATACAGTCCTCATCATATTGTTGAGACATCTCAAAAGTGCTTCACAGAATATTTTGACCGTATACTTCATGAACAAACTGCAGCAGCTAATTGATACCTTCAATGAGTGATTTCTTCTACCTATATGTATTGCTTTATTGATCCATATATTTTCCTTTTTAAGTCGCAATGCAATAACTTATTCAGGTTCATTATATACACGCCGCTATTTTGAAATAAGTCACAATGTGGGACATCGCTGTGTACAAATGGCTACCAGGTACAAATACATAGCCACTACACTCAATAGCACGCACAAAATCAAGTGCAAAGATTAATATCATAAAGCATATTTCAAGAGCAGCATTATAAACAGCCTCCAAAAACTGCAGTTACATTTTTCTGCTGCAGAAACATTTCTGGAATCTTAATTTAGAAATTTCTGTGAATTTGAGAACTGATGCATTAAATAATAGATTGCTGTAAAGAGCCAAAGTTAGAGCATGGGGGAATAGTGCTACAACGATCCACCCTAGAAAGATTGGTCATGTTCATTTTATTTGCTGGCAGCAGCTCCCAATACGCTTTATTCCTCTGTAATATTAATTCACCCTGGATTATGGAAAGGAAACAAATGCAATTTTGTGCTACTCTTCAGAGGAAATGCCCAATTTATCCCCAAATAATCCACAAGTTAGATGTAACTAAACCTACCTATACTACCGCAGCAATCAATCTATAGCTTCAAGCATTACATTCACATTTTCTCTGGATTTGCGGTCAGGAGCTGTACTAAACACCTAAACTGCTTTGGACAGTGGTCTGCAAACATCTACACAGACGCTACCAATCTGGGTCCCTTATTACCACTCTTATCCTAGAAGCATAATGGTGCATCATAAACTCGCTTTCACTCTCTTTCCTACAACTAAAACACAACCTGTTTATTTTACCTTAAAAATTAACCCATTTCAATTTTACTTAGCTGTTGTTTCAGACATAATTCCGATGTTGGAAACCTGGCATAAACAGCAGAGGTGAACTATTTCATGCTTATAATGTTTGTCATTGGGAGACCAAACATCCCCATTTGCCACTCTTCCCTTTTATGTCTATATATCTATTCTATACCAGAATAATAATAATCCTTGCATTTGATGGAGGGTCTCATATTAATACTTCAAGCACATTAAAAGGAATTGATGTAAAGTGAAGCGAGTTAACTGAAAATGCTTATCAATAACAAAAATGTTTAATTTAAATGCAATAACAATTATAAGAAATTGACTCTACAATAATGAAAATGCCCTTCAATTACATCAGATGCTTTGTAGAATGTAGTTAGATTCATCATGTAATATACTTCAATAGAAAAGCCAGCATACAATTACAGTGTTGGGGTAACTACAGAACATCAGAGATAGGGTCATTTCTCAACTAAGGGTATACATAGACAATAGCACTTTTTTTCATTACTATTATTACCCTTGCATTTGATATAGCACTTTTCACATCTTCTAGACGTCTCAAAGCGCTTCACAGAAGAGACTGTAAAGTGAATTGACTGTATATTTGGTATATTTGTGGATGAAACGCGGTAAACCAGTTACGCACAGCAGTGTCCCACAGTCATGGATTGAGGTGACCAATTTACATCACACCATAATCTAGTTTACAACTTAGTCTGTCTTTATAATGTACGGCTTATTAGTTGAGTTGGAACTACCTTGTTTCTAGATTTAGTTGCAGCTATCTATTAAAACTTGGATATAGGTATCGAATCCACTCAGGTTTATATGCAACAACAAGATTACATTTGTATATACAATAGAAAAACAAATATGCAAACAACAGATGAGTATCGCAACAGTTGAATATTGTCATCAGTCACACCTCCGATCTCAATTTGCAGAGCAAAATCAATTTCCAACATCTTCAAAGCTCCCGACTACAGGTCAGCTCACAGGATTAGATTTAGAATGGCAACAATATCCTCAATAGTTTGAGAAGCTCCTGGCCATCTTTCACCGGACAGAATTTTTTTCTCTCAAATGTATAAAGGAATAATATAATAATCAAATAATCAAATGTATAGGCAATATTATAATATAATCTATAATCAAGGCCACAGCATTGTTTGTGAGACTGGACTCTCTGGAATGCTGATTCAATGGAAGAGTACAAATTTATAGAAATACTCATTACCCAGGTGGATTAAAATAATGCTCTTTTTCCCCCAAGTCCCCAGGGCATTCGTTAAACCAAGGTCAGCCTGTAAATGTAACGGTCTCAGCATCAATTGCTGCATGTGGCCAGGCATTCCATACTCTGATTTGCCTCCACATGAGGGTGCTTCGAACCTCTCCTCCTCCCCACTCTAAATACACGTGTTCTTGTTACCAATTTTCCAAGCAGTGGAATGAATCATCAGTATCAATTCTCTTAACGCTAGAAGTTTGTCGCTGAATATAAAGCTACACATTTTACTGAACAAATCTCATTGAAAGGCTGCTGTAGCTGTGCCTTACCAATCTCTTGCTGTAAAGTAGAGCTGTGCTGCCACTGGAAATGGCCCACTTTGCAAAGTTCATCACGTGCTCCACCTGCTTGGCAAGGCTGGTAACATCCTGCTGCTGTTGCAGTAATTTTATTTGCCTCTCCTTTGTTACACTCTACAGACAAAGAACAAAGTCATGAAAGTAAATTATAAAGCACGTTAGAGCAGCACTGGGCTGTATCTATGCAAAGTCATTGTGTACCATACCTCCAGCTGCTGTAACAGATTCTTGCCCTTCTTGTTTATCTCATTGATGAGTGTAAATATGGCAACTTTAATGTCATGCTCCACCTTCTTGTTCGTATCCGAGACTTCATTTAACCTGAAAAAAAAAATACATGTTAACCTTGAAGTCCTGTAGCTCAGGACAGGGCAGGGCAAAACCGTGGGCAAGTTTCCTTACCTCACACGCCCGATAATAATCCCTCAAGAAAAAAAAAAATTTGGTCACTCAATCCACAACTGTTTGTGGGGACGCTGCTGTGCACAATTGGCTGCCGTGTTTTGCCCACAAAATATACAACCAATTCACTTTACAGTATGTTCTGTGAAGCACTTTGAGATGTTTCGAAGACATGATAAACAACAACAACAAGATTCCATTTATAGAGCGCCTTTCACGTCGGGAGGACATCCCAAGGCGCTGTATAGTTGGGTCAGGACCCGAGCAGGGGGGAAATGGTCAGGGTGAGGGGAGGGAAGGGAGGGAGCGAGGAGGGGGTAGAGAGTCGAGAGGAGAGCTGAAGGCACAGTCAAAGCGAAAGGACTTGAGACCGGCCTTGAAGGAGGAAAGGGAGGAGGCGGCGAAGGCACTGGAGGATAGAGTTCCAGAGCCTCGGGGCTGAGAGGCTGAAGGCCCGGCCACCGATGGTAGGGCGGTCGGGGCGGGGGATGTGGAGCAGACCGGAGCCAGAGGAACGGAGGGTACGGGCAGGTAGGTAGGGGGATAGTAGGTCAGAGAGGTAGGAGGGAGCGAGGCCGTGAATGGCCTTGTAGGTGAGGATGAGGATCTTGAATTCGATCCTCTGGGGGATGGGGAGCCAGTGGAGGCGAGCGAGGGCGAGGGTGAGGGTGAAGGTGGGAGTGATGTGGTCCCGAAGCCTGGTGCGGGACAGTACAGGAGCTGCAGAGTTCTGAATGACCTGCAGTGTGGAGGGAGGGCCGGGAAGGCCGGCGAGGAGAGAGTTCCCATAGTCCAGCCTTGAGGTGATAAAGGCGTGAACCAGAGTTTCAGCCGCGTGAGGGGTGAGGTAGTGCCGTAGTCTGGCGACATTCTGGAGGTGATGGAAGCACTTTAACAAATTGAAGGATTGTTATTATAACCTTTAAAATGTAATCGTAGCTTGTTTAGAATCATCATGAGCACACTTATACAGCAAGATTACGTAATCCTTTCTAATTCCAGCGGTCTAGGAGTTAGAAAGGAGGACCGTGCCTTGTATCGATGTTAAGGATCGATACAAGCATATGATTATAATAATAATTCTTGCATTTGATATAGCGCTTTTCACGTCTTCTCGACGTCTCAAAGCGCTTCACTTAAAATGCTGTAAAGTGAATTGACCGTATATTTGTGGGCGAAATGCAGCAGCCAATTGTGCACGGAGGTGTCCCACAAACAGTCATGGATTGAAAATGACCAATTTATTATTGCTTTGTTTTGGAGGGATTATCATTAAGCGTGTGGAGTAAAGAAACTTGCCCAAGGTTTGGCCCTGCCTGGAATTGAACCCAGGTATCTCACTTGCAGAGCAAGCGCTCTAACCACTGAGCTACAGGACTCCACACACTGGAGCCCCAATTATAAAATGCTTCTTGTTCCCTGCTCAATTACCAACCTCCCATTCTTTTACTGAAATTCAACCTTTAACATAATAGTATGCAGGAAATACCCAGGGAATGCCCCTTTAGGAACATTTCACCTTGAAAACCCACGTGACCATCCTCACACTACAGTGCAAACGATACCATTCAGTTTGTTGCAAGAAGGGGCAGCACTGACAAAAGTAATTAACAAGGGGCAGCCTTGAAGGTGTAATGGAGAAGACTGCAATTTGCAGACCAGGAGATTGCCGGCTCAAATCTTGTTCTGTACTGAGTTTGCCAGTCTCAACCGGGGCAATATCGGGAAGCGAAAGTGGCCTCGGCGTTAGGGAAAGAAGCAGCCAGCGTTCTGGCTCCTGGTCCTGCTTGAATACTCTCTAATGGCTGTGTGCATTTGGCAGCCAGACGGAGAGACGTCAGGCTCGGCTGTGACACCCTCTATAGTCGAGTGGCTGCCAACGCTCATTTCCAACTCCCAGAGCCTGCACACCTAAAGTTTCACTACAAGTAGCCCAAGGATTGGAGGAAGGGCCCTGATTCAGGTGTTATACATGTAACACAAACATTCCCCATCATGAGCATTCAAACACAGTAATGCAGAAGCCCGTAGATAACCTCTATAGTGGTGGCCAATCTGTTTCTATCAGTCAACAAAATACATTTTCTTGACCGAATATTTCTTGATTAACACAATAAATATTCAACCAAGAAAAACCTGGGAACACACTATCGATTAATCGAACACGCACTTACCTGAAGTCATGTGAATATTCAGGGGTCACTTCTTGACGCTCCAGAGGAATCCCCTTTTAGCCCAGAAAAGTGACCACTGCTCCCTGACAGTTTTACAAAGGAAGATCTTAATTAGGAACAAAGGAACAGGAGTAGGCCATTCAGCCCCTCAAGCCTGTTCCGCCATTCTATAAGATCATGGCTGACCTGTACCTCAAATCCAATTATCTGCCCTTGCCCCATATCCCTTGATCCACTGACCTAACAAATATCTAACTACCTCAGTCTTGAAAATGTGAATGGATCCAACCATAATCCACAGCCTTTTGGGGGAGAGTTCCCGAATTCCACTACGCTTTGGGTGAAAATCTGCCCCTGATTTCACTCCTAAGTGGACTGGCTCTAATTTTAAGATGGTGCCCCCTTACAATACAATACAAAATTACATTTGTATAGCACTTTTCACGTCAGGAGGACGTCCCAAGGCTCTTGTTCTGGAATGTGTTTTTATCGTGTTCAGCCCAGGAGCTGAGGTAGCTGACTGTGAGTGGCCCTACCTGTTCTGAACTTGACTGGCTGCGTACTGCACGTAATTCCTCTTCTCTTGAAGTTTGGCCATTAACGTCTCGATGATGATTTTTTGGTTTTGAAATGCTTCTTCTAAAAATTGATACCTGTGAAGGAGAAGTTGAAGAGTTTGCCACAAAAGAATTAACTATAATTTCTTCTCATAAAATAAACAGGAAAAACGGTTGTCTCGAGGAGAGAAAAGATCCCAGTAAACACCTGGGGTGCAACACTTCATAACAGATTTGAAGCAATCACTGATTTAATGTTGCATATCTCATCCCAATAAGACAAGGAACAGTAAAGTCTACTTCAGAATGTTCGAATAACTTATAAGCGGCTGCAAGAAAATATACCTTGTTCTGTTCATGCAACAAAGTGGTATATATTATACATATATAACATATATATATGTGTGTGTATGATCCTGTTGAAAAGGTGGCTGTAATAGCATCCATAATAAATTATTGGCTTTCAAACTCGAGATCTGCAGGAAGCTGACTATAAGAACCTTAAACCAGTCCCAAAGGTAATCGCCATAGGCATGTTTCACAGTATTAACTGTGGAACTCCAGTACTGAACACTCCTTTTAGGTATATTAAAAAGCTCAGTTAGGTAATTAAAACAGTGAATCTCCAGCTACATGTTGCAAATCATTTAAAGACCTCACAATGCACTACAATGTATTCAATCAGACAAATATCCTCAATTCATGCTTCTTACATTTAATTTGCACATCAAAGACTGAACTCTGAAAGTTTGAGTACCACAGCCCCACAGAATGGTGCTGCAACAACAAACTACATTTATATATCAGGCCTATCACGTCAGAATGGCGCCCCAAGGCGCTGGACAGTGAAGGGTTTTCACCCAAGCTATGGTTGGAGTCAAGATGGATGGAGGGCAAGTGGTTTGGAGGTGGGAGGATGACCGAATGCACGGTCAAAGAGGAAGGTCTTAAGGCGGACCTTGAAGGTAGGAACGGTTTACAATGATACACATTCCCAGCGCTGATGGGCTAGTAATTTTAGCTCTTTAAAGTAGAATTCTAACCACTTGATGGGTTACATCTTCCACCTTTGCAAAAGCTCCAAAGCATCAATTCCTAGAACTTGAAGATTTGTGATATTACCACCTGTCCAACAATTCCCTCCCCCCGAAAAAAAGTCATTCACTTCATGAGTGTTTGTGGGACACAGCTGTGTGCAAATTGGCTGCGGTGTTCACTTACAAAATATGAAGTCATTGCATTTTACGGTAGATCCTATGAAGCGCTTTGAGACATCTTCCTAATGGGAAAGATGCTACATAAAAGCAAGGATTACTATTTTTGGCTTACACTATAACTGCACTGAAAATTGCTAGGATAGTCGTGTTTCCTGTTGAAAACATTTTATACTTGTCTGAGGATCTTCTCAAAGGCCTAGACTTAAACAGATGACGTGCACCGAATGCAAGACTCAACTCTAGTGCACATGGAAATAACTTGTTGGTGTTGAACGTCCTTGTTAAAGCACAAAGTGCTATGTAACAACTGGATAGCAACAGTTGGATAAAAAGGATTTCATGTAGAATTTGTTTCTTAAAAATATTTGTACTGAACAAATAGTGCACAATATCTCCACCTCCAGAAACACTGGCAAAAAAGTGGCATTAAAGAACTGGAGGAATTTAGTAACAAAATGCTCCTACAGTGTTTACTAAGAGGAGCAATTGGCCTATATTTTAACCCTTGATGAGAAGGAAGCACATATCTATTGTGTGGAATCACTATAGGGAAATTCCTACTTATACCAAGAATTAACAACAACTTGTATTTATATAGAGCCTCTTATGCAGGGTATCATCCCAGTGCGCTTTTACAGCACATTGATTACAGCAGTCAAAAGATACACAGCATGGATGTGATGGATGCCATAACCACTCCAGCTTTAAAAAGGGAACTGGTGTCACCACAATAGAGTAAGGTGGTAGATATCCCCCGATGATTCCCTGTTCACTGGATTGTTTGATGACTTATTTGTGCGCGGAGAGAATCTCTGAGGAAATTTTTAAAGGAACAATTAGTCCCAAAAATAAACGAATCTCTCGATCCCCTCACCGGGTCAATGGAAAAGGCATTGATACAGGGCTATGGATTAGTGAGCAGCAAAGATGGAAATCTCACAGAAAGAGCACAAAATGACATTTAAAACATTTAATCTATTTGGATATAGATGATCCAAGCCCCACGTTGGGCCTTTGAGCTCACATTGTCTAGGCTAACACTCCATTGCAGGCTGGTGGTGCTTTGTTGCCGTCCTTGGATGAGATGTGAAACCAGTATCCTGACATGGAGTTTAGGTCTGTTTGTGGGACATCGCTGTGTGTGAATTGGCTGCATGTTCGCTTCCAAATACAAGCACTCCTCTTTACAGTAAATCCCGTGAAGGCTGCCTGATGTGAAAATGCAAGAACTATTTTACATTATTATTTCATCTATTTGGATTTGTAACTGGTGAAGGGGATTGATTTATTGTTACCTTACTCTTGAGACGAGCAGAGGTAAATTCATTTTGGAGCAGAATGATTCACTTAATCCATGGGACGTCCTCCCGACGTGAAAGATGCTTTACAAATGTAATTTTGTTGTTGTTAATCCCACAGACTAAACTCAAATGCTGGGTCAATGAACCAGTACAATTATGCACATTATAATACTATACCAGAACTACCTAATTTAATTTAATTTCTGTGCTGTGTCCCACATTCTCGAATGACAAGTTTCAAAGCCCATACAATCTAAGGCTTTATACAGGAGGAGCTGTGTCATAGATCCACAATAGCCAATATCCAATGAAACGGAATGCACACACTTGATAAGTGGTTAATTTAACTGAAAGTTTTAGTTCTGAAAGATTTCTGCAAAATCTGGTCACCATTCTGATCGGCGTGTAGTCTGTCAGAAAAGAGGCGCCTTCATAATAAATTCTATTTTGAAACCTGGACCTCAAAAGAACTAAAGCACAATCAACTCGCCGCTGTTCAACTAAGAACCTTTTCCATTTCAAGCTTCCTTCAAATTCTTCACTCTGCAATTCAATGATTGGAATTTAGTCGTGCGTTTGTCGAATTTGCCGACTCCGAACCTAACATGGCGCTCTGCTTACACAAGGCTTTATTCCACTTTTGGCAGAAGGCATGCAACACTGAGCTGAACTGTCCAACAAGTGACAAAAACTCATCTCGAGCTCAGTAACTGAGGTTACAATGTCTGTATCTGTCACATTGTGAACCTCAAACTTCAGAGACAAGATGACGTTCTACATTAACTGTGCAGCCATCGTGACTGAACTCTTCCATCTGAAATGATCAGCAAAGAATTCAACCAGAAGTGATCCTGTCACTGTAGTACAACACTGTGCCAACTCTTCTCTCTTTCTGACTGTCTCTGACACAAGGATTTTCTCTCAGATGTCCTCCCTCTGACTTGCCCTCATCTGCGCCGTGACATACCCATCTCATTCGCTGAATTTCTCCCACTATGACTCTGACTGTCAGCCTACATCATACCTGGCACAGACTGCTACATAAACGCTCATCTTTGCGATCCTGGCTTGGCCGTTCTGCATAGCTAAATCAGAACCCCTGTAAGCCGTCCCTGCTCAACTTTTCAAATCACCCAATACTTTTGCCACTATTGTAGCCCCGAGATTACTTCCTCCTGCAGAGCCCGGTCAGTCGGTGTGGGTCAGTGCACGAATTGGTGCAAGAAGTCATTGTGCAGATACACAGCATAATACTGCATTTCTTTGGAAGAAAACACCATGAGAATGTTTTAAAAAATAGTTTATCTTTGACTTCTTTACACCAAAGCACCATCAGCTTTTAGACAGTTGACCAGACTGAAAAGCCACTAAATGATGAAGCAAAGAGCAGGCAGGCCTTCTGATAGCTACCATACCTAAGCACTATAGGAGTTCACTTGCTGGCAAACACGACAGGATTTCAAATTACAATCGATTCAATGGTCAATATACATGTTGGCAAAGTCTGACAGTCCAACTGGCAATGTTATTCTGGGGTTCTGTGTGAACAGCCGCAGGCACATGGCCAACTACTTCAATTGTTAGATTTTAAATAAAAACAAAATGGATTAAAGCATATACTTATTAGAATGCAAATTCTGACCAGGTTTATAGCCGGATTCAAAAGAGTACACAACACGTATTAGGGTCGGTTGCTGTGTTGCTTATCTTCAGTGTTTGACTTTTAAGCCGTTTTCCTTTACATTGTGTTTGGATTTTCTGCCGTAGCACATTCATATTACCATCTGACTCCACACCTGATTATTTCAATCATTTGACTTGTATCAGAGCTTTGGTTATGCTGGTGTCCTTCTCCCCACCCCCACCCCAATGGACCGCTCGTTTTTTGTTAAAGAAAGCATTAATAATTTTTTTAACAACAATTTAATGTGTGTTATTTCTTCATGTTAGTTTTTATCAATAAAGTGAAAACATGTAGTACAATATTGGCAGTAAAATATACCCTCAATAACATCAAACACACACTCCCCCCCACAATTTTGCCATAATTTTCTATTAGCCCTGGTAAAAAGGTTTTGTGGGGGGTGGTTAAGAAGGTTCACCTTTGTCACTAACTGGTTTTCATCAATCTATTACAAATAAATAAGAAGAAATTAAATAGAAGCTCTAACCCTAATGTGGTGAATGCCCCAGCACTAAAACATGCTTTTATACTGTTGCAACATTGCTCAATCCATGAGGGCATTCGGTTTGTTATGTCCCCACTACTGCACATTTGCATTAAATTCAATAATTCAGCACGTTCGGAAGACATTCTGCAGTATATATAATCCACATCGTTTTTCAGTACCTGCACGGAATTTGCAGGAACATTAAAGAAATAATATGCTGACGATACATATATTTGAATAAATTTTGTTTCTCCACAATCAACCAATGCCAAAATAACCGTGACACATAGGCTGCCTGAATATCAGACAACTTTACACCCAACTTTTTACCTAGTTCTATTATTTAAGTAGAATCAATGGGAAGGCACGATGTATGAGTCAGGTGTGGAGTCAGTCGCTGGGTATTA